TTTTTCTTTAGAAATATTAACATTTCTGCTTTCACAGGAGAAAAAAAAGCCTGTTGAATGGGATTCCTATTGACAGTGCACCGCTGGTATGTGTGGGTCTGAGCGGCTCCGACAGAAATATTGGAAGGCAGGATGGTAATCTGGATGAACTGACTGCAATGATTACGTTTCAGGTGGATTTTCTCACTTAAAAACATAATAAAACTACTTTATTCCCACTGATCACAGCAAATATAGCTGCAAGGCAATTAAAGGATAGAGTAGCTCTGCCCAACGCGCATCAGAGACACTTTTCGACCGCGCAGCCAGAGCAGCAAAACTGCTTCAGCCGCGCGTCAGAAGCTGGTACAAGCAGCAAAAAGGAAGCAGCAGACGTGATTTTGCTGCTCCTGCTGCGTCCAGTTTGGAAGCGGCATGATTCACTCCGCTCTGGCTTTGCTCTGCCCACGGGCTGCTGAGAGGAGGATGGTCGCGCTGGCTGCGGTCCGCTCTTCTTACAGTCAAACACAGAGCAACTTTCTGCTCTTAAATTGTTTCCGTGCACGATGTATTGCATTGCGCACTATTGGCATCAGTCTTAATAAAGTGAAGCCACACTTTTGACCTGGGGGGCATTTTAAAGGGGTTCCACGACGCTCGCAACCACTTCACAACTGATACACATGAACCCTGGCTGTAGGCGTGACCACCTATGTAATTTTCCTGGATGACACAATAACGTTAAGTGTTACAGCAAATCACTGAAACTTGGCACCGAAAGACGAGGCATGTTTCGATACTCTGTAGAACCCAAGCATTTCGTTCGGTACCATAAAAGAACCGATGTTCGGTACCCAGCCCTACGCTGGTCAGATTAAACTAAAATTGAATTTTTTTGGCATCCCCTTGAGCACACATCCCAGAAGGGAAAGATGGCGAGTGGATGGTTTTCTGCAGCAGGGACAGGAAAGCTAATCAGAGTTGATGAGAAGATAAATGGAGATAAATACACAGCAGGCCTGGAAGAAACCTTAAGTGGTTACCACCCACCCAGCATGGCACGAGCAGGACTTTTTATCAGAGTTTTACCTCCCATTGCAAAGTCGACAAGGTATGCAAGATCCAACACTATACATAAGGATGTACATC